TTCATCTTTTTTTTTTCTTAGCTGCGGGCAATGACATTTTCTGTTTGTTACACTCCTTGCCCCTGCTTTTTCCTTCACCATCAGGTTGTATCTTTCCAATTCGACCACCTAACTCTTGCTTAGGTGTAACAACGCAACCCTGGAATATCACATCTTCATCATCATGTCTAAAATCATAATCGCTGTCATGGAAGCTTTCAGCTGTGGATGAATCCAAATGGACATCATCATCATCATCATCATTTCCTCCATGTTCAGCAGGCTCTGTTTTTTTATTTTTTGACTTCACATGCTCCATCATTTGCTTCACACGAACAGGTATTTCTTCGAAGTCAACTAGATTAATATCATTAAAGGTTATATCCACATATAAATTATTATCTTCTAGTTGAATCTCCTCAACTATTACTGCACCTAAATCAGTGTTGCTATTAACATCTCTTATATGGAATTCATAGATATCATACACATCAACTTTTTCATATTTTTTATCAATACAAGCCACGTCTATTACATCATCATCACTATCTATTTGCCGAAGTTTCAGCACATTTTTTTCATAGGGGATTCTATACATCATCTTTGAATCCTCCGGATAGCCCACAACTGTGCAAAAGTCATGCAAAATTGACTTACTAACTCTCTCTGGAATAACTCTTTCAAATGTTTCCACGCTACCCCTACGTATGCTTCTTGTGGATCTTTAACATACACACCACCATAATGTACTTTCAAAGTAAAATAGTCCACATCTTGACCTGTTTTTTTATTTAAAGAAATAGAAATCTGGGTTTATTTAGAATTTTCAGAATTTTGGCTCCAATTATGTCTCACTTTTCATCAACATGAAAGCAACGGCATAATATAGTTTAAAGGAACAGGGACCACATCATAGTTCACAAACAAACAAATTTGCTTTAACCGAGACCAAATTTCACCACCACAGACAAAAGCATACATATTCAATTAAAAAATTACCAACATTTCAACATCACAAATGTCAAGAAAATAAAGTAAAATTTTTAAAGTACCATACCAAGCTAAATTCTTTATCTTTTCCATGTGGAATCTATAAGTACTTTAACAAAAATTTCAACATCCCCTAACCTATTCATGCCCACCACTGCTATATAATACTGCCAAATTAAACCCCCCTCCCTCAAGTCCCTCCATTATCAATGCTTTTATCATCATTCCAACACACTAGTGGCAGTCAACTCAAGCCCCTCATGCATACGGTTGATGAGGTTTAGGTTTGAAGTGCAGACTTACTTGATCTTGTTGATGACTCCACTTGATCATTGCCATCCTTGTCAGAATCGCCATTGTCCATTGCCTGAGGTCATGGCGTTCCCTGTTCGATTCTGGCCTCCATCGTCCGTTCATCTCAGCCCTAGTTCTAATCCCAATTTTCCCCAATTTTGTTCTATTTTCCACGGTTAATTGCATTGAAGGGGAATGTCTTTCGAATAATTGCAGCAGATTAAACAAGTGTGACAATTATACCCCTGTTGGTCCACGCGAAGTGAGTAAAATGTAGCAAAAAATCCTACATTGAAAGTAAAAAACTAGTTCAAGGACTAAATTGGTTAAAATATTTCATTAAGGACGAAATTGGTTTAAGTGAAAATGTTTAGGGATCAAAATGGCAAAATTCCCTTTTTCTTTTGTGCATGGGTCAAGAAATACAAGTAATCATATACTAGTTCAAAATGCAATTAGGCTAGTTAAGGGCATAGAATGTTGCTCGTATGGCTAATGAACATAGCAAATAAAGAAATGAGGGTAGTTGTCCATTTCATAACTAAATCCTGTATTATCAAGTGTTAACATATATAAGGAAAATTTGCCAATTTGATACCCACATTTTCAAGAAAAACTTTTATTGTCCTTCGCATTCAAATTCAGCCAAAATAATCACTCAAATATATTTTTAAAAAAAGTACGCCTATTTGGTTCTAAAGCTCATTTTCGCTTATTTCTCCAATCAAAAACTGCATACTTGCTTCATAATAAAACCTATAAAAAAGGAATGGGACAGGGTTCAAATAAGTTTTGCACCATTTTGTTCGATTGGTGTAATTCTTACTATATTTGATGTAGTTCCCACTAAACTTGAATACAAACAAAATTCACAATGAAACCTAAATTGTTTGGATTTACACTAAATTTTATAAAAACTACAATGAGTGGTTAGAAGTACTAGGGGTGAGCATCGAATTATAAATCGGTAATTCGGTAGTTTGAAATCGATAATTTTCTGAAAATTGTTCTGGAAATATTCGACCTAATTCGCATTTGAAATAGAAATTATCGAATTCGAATTCAATCCGAATTCAATTCGGAAAACGGACATTTACCGATTTAACCGAATTTCAGAAAACAAATTCTTTGGACCATTTTTCATCAGCAAACAACAATGCTAGGCTAACTGAGCCACAAACATGAGTTGTAGTCTGAACAATCTATAACACACTGATCCACAAATTACAAACTGATGAGTTGTAACGGATCACAAATGCACAAATCACTCCAGAAATCACAAATATCACACTGATCATTGAAATCCAGAAATCACAAATCACAAATCCACAAATCACAAATTACACTGATCCACAATCATAAATCAATCCAGAAATCATAACTCAACAGAAATAAAAGTCTAAATTAACTTGTCCAGAAATCATAAAAAACAATCCACAATCCAGAAAGCCAATTATCCAGAAACTGCAACTTGCAAGAAGAGTTGGTTTAACTCTCAAAATGCAAACTTCAGCATTTGTGACCTCTCAAAGGTCAATTATAGTTGGTTCAACTCCGGTCTTCAACAACTCTGCAAGAACAAACAAAATTCATGATGTATCATAAAGGCAATTATTAGAAATAAAGAAATACTTCAAATTCTGCAATAAAAATTTTGATAGCTTACCAGATTCGAAGGTTTCAAGCTCTTCCAGATTTTCTTCTACATTTAATTTTGTCTTGAAGGACCGAAGTCAATCTTGAGCACATATTAAACCTTGCACAATTCTAGGAGTCAAAAAACTCCTAAATGTATCAAGAACACGACCTCCAGTACTAAAAGCAGATTCGGAGGCCACGGTAGAAATTGAGACTACTAACACATCACGAGCAACTTTGGAAAAGATTGGGAATCTAAGGCTATTGGCCTTCCACCATAACAAGATATCAAATCTCTCATCATCTTCCTCACAATTTTCATTCAAATATTTCTCTAATTCAGATTTTGCATCCCTATCCCCAAGTTCCAATTTTCTCTTCTTAAACTCCAACTTGTACCTATCAGTGATTGTTTTAGAGGCATCCGCATGTCCACGAAATGTAGTTTTACTCCATTGAGAATCACTTGAAAGTGAAGAAGCATGAGACGCAGAATGTGAGATAGGTGTGTTGAGCATCTTGTATTCATTAAACAGCTCAAACATTGCATCTTTTGCAAGGCCAGCTATTGTTGTACTATTGGACTCACCATACATTTGGCAAACCACAAATTCAAGATATTCAAGTTTAGCTCGAGAATCAAGAATGGAGGAAATAAAAATCAGCATATTCATCTTTTCAATCTTTTCCCAATACTTATCATATTTCTCCCTTATTGATCTTGCCATTAAACTCAATTCATCATTATCACTTGCTGTTATTTTATTTAAAATGCCATGAATGTGACTAATATCAGTGAAAAAATTATTTTAAGTCACATATTTGGAACCGGAAACCTTCACAGTTAGCTGATAAAAGTTTTCAAAAAAATTACCAAGAATCTAGCTTTTGTCCAATCAGATTTTGTTGGTAGATTTTCTAACTCTTAAAGCATATAAGGATCCTGCTCCTCAAACCTCTCAAAAGCCCACTCAAACCTTTGAGCTTTGTCTAGCATTAGATATGTAGAATTCCACCTAGTAGAGACATCTAAACTGAGCAATCTTTTGCATTCAATTTTTTCAATTTCAACACACTGCTTGAATTTTTTCAATCTAGAAGGTGACTGTCTAACATATCTAACTGCTGCCCTGATACAATCATCTGAATCCCTAAGTTTTTTGATGTCATCATTAACAATTAGATTCACTATGTGAGCTACACATCTCACATGAGTCCATTTCCCCCCTAGCACAGCTTTTCCCCAATTTTGAAGTTTTTCTTGTAAATACTGGACAGTTACATCGTTGGAACTTGCATTGTCAACTGTAACAGTTAGGATATCATCAACTCTCCATTCTAGTAGACACTTTTCTATGGCCTTACCAACTTCAGTTCCCTTGTGACTAGCAATAGGACAGAAATTTAGGATCTTTTTGTTCAGTTTCCAATCATTATCTATGAAATGGGCAGTAAGGCACATATAGTTTATCCTTTGAATGGATGTCCAGGAATCTGTGGTTAGACAAATTCTGCCACTGTTATTCTTCAAGAGTGTTCCAACTTAATTTTTTCATGGGCAAATTATCCAATTGGCCCTTGAACTCTTTGTCTAGGTAAAAATAAGCCCCTCATCTATTTTTTGTCGACTTTAAGCTCTCGAACTTGTAAAATTGGGCACCCGTGACCCTTTTAGCCAGTTTCTCCGATTTTGCAACCGGAAGGCCAATTCACAAGAATACCAATGTGTTTCTTCAAAGGGCATTTTTGTCCGCATCTTCTAAGCAAAAAGAGAATAACTCCTCCTTCTTCCCTCCATCTAACCTAACCCAACTGCTAACTTATTCAACAAACGAATTGCATAAGGAAGAGAGAGAAGTCTGCAAAGAAACAAAAAAGGGAAGAAGGTAAGGAACATAGCAGAATATCTGCAAATATCTATCATACATCAAAATGCAAATTATCCCGGTAAAATGCATAAAATGGTATGAATGTTGGTGCAACCAAAAAGCATCAATATTCCTTTGGAGGTTGGAGGACGAGACCAGGATCACACATGGTGGCTAACAAGAGAAGGTTGTTTTCCCTTGATGCGGTTACTGCAATAGTCTCGGTCATGTCTAAGTCGTTGTAGTTGAGGCCAATGGCCAGTCAAAGCAGTAGAGCAGAAGAGCTAAAGGGAGCTCAACATTCGCTAAACCAAAAGAAATTCCAAGACAAATCCTCCTTCTTGCTCCAAATAGGAGATACTCAAAGTTGTTTCCAGTGAAATCAACAGGATGGTTCTCGAATCTCTCAGGTTTAAAACTCTCCGCATCATCCCAATACTTGGGGTCCCTTCCAATTGCCCAAGCATTGACCATAACTCGTGTTTTAATTGGGATGACATATCCATCAATTTCACATTCCTCCCTGCATTCTCTGGGAACCAATAAAGGAATAGGCGGATGTAACCTGAGAGTTTCTTTTATCACTAATTTTAGGTATGGCAATTTCTCAACATCAGTTTCTTCAATTGTTTTGATTCCCATGAAAGCTTTCCTAATTTCATTCTGTGCCTTGGCCATCACATTTGGATTCCTAATCACCTCAGACATTGCCCATTCCACCGTTGTGGATGAAGTTTCAGTCCCACCTGTGAATATATCTTGCATCAATATCAAAACCTTCTTTTTAGGGAATGCCATCAATTGATCAATTCTTTATCACAGTATAGGAGTTAAACTTTGACTATTGACATCTGCCTTGACCAAAGAATCAGAAATTGAAAAGAAAAAGTAAGGCGTGAAGCAAAAGCTCATTACAATAGCATTTTACCATCAGAACAGCTTTGATATTATTGTTGGTAACTGGAAAGGTAAGGTCTCCACTTTCTTTAACTCTTAATAGAACATCAACTAGATCTTCATTTCCAGACTCGCCTGTGAGGACCCATAATTTTATTATTTCAAAATATTGTTAAATTGGTCATTTTAAAAATATTTCGTACTCGAGTTACCCAAAAAAAAAAAATTAATAAAATAAAAATAAAATAAAATATACTAAAGTACATGAATTTCTCGAAAATAAATTTTTCCGCTCGGTTCTTTACGCGCATATTATTTTAATGCCCAAATTTATTCAAGATGAATTGCTTATCGTGATTTTTATTGTTATATATATATACTTGGATTATCATATTTTAGAGTTTTAGAATCGAATAAGTTGAATTTCCAAGTTCAAACAAGAAAACCCTTAAGTTTGACCTTTATACGCGCGCGTGCCGAAAAGACCCCGACAGGCACATTAATTTGATTAATTGGAGATTTTAAGAACATGATATTAGACTACTAGTAATATACTATTAATGTACTAGGGAAATTACCTCAGAGGTTTAGTGCACAAAAGTTGCAAACGAGCGCGAAAATTGGACACGCAAAGACCCTAAACGGACCTAGCATGAGTTGACACTTAGACTTAACCATTAAGTCACCAATTCTCTCCACTTTCATTACAATACCTGATTTCACTCTCTCTCCTCTCGTCACTCTCTAGTTGGCCGAAGATGGGAAGAAAAAAAAATCTAGCCAAAATCCTCACAAACTTGCTTCAATCCACTTCCAAATTTCATCATCCATTAGAGGGCTTTGATCCTAGCATGGAAGAGGGGGCTGTTCATCGGTTTTCTTGGAGGAATTTCAGTCAAGATTTCTGCCCTAAAGCTGTCCAACTAAGTTCTTGAGGTAACTCACCCACCCACACTTCAATCTTGCAAAATTATAGCTCAAATGGAGCAAAGGTAGCATGGGTTTGCAACCTATGGCAGAATTTTGGTTGATTAATTATTTGATTGCAATTTCATGACATGTTGGACGGCTTGAGGATGCTTATTGGTGGCTGATTTGATGAATTAACATGTTTTGGTTGCTGATATTGTGCTATGTTACATGTATATAGAATGATTGATGGAATGAAGTTGGAAGAAAGTTAGAAATTTGGAGAAGGTACTGTCTGAAATTTCTGACTTGCTGCCGACTTTCTTGTTTGCTGCTGCCCTGTAATTTCGAAAATTTTCTGGTGCAAATTGAGCTTCCAAATTGGTGTAGATATGTTGTGCAATGTGTATTGTGGTTGTCTACCAAAAATCAACCGAAATGGTTGGTTAAATTTTGAGTTACAAGTAAAGAAGCAAAACTGGAACAAGCTCCAGAATTTTCTGACCAGCAACATTTGTGTAGCTATAACGTTTTGCTCGTTGATCAAAATGGAGTGCCATTTGTGGCATTTGAAAGTAGACTCTTAGAGCTTTAAAATGGTACCAAGCTCATTTTCTAGTTCGTCCCGAGCGATTCGTGGCGAGTTTTGAAAGTTGGCTGCCTGTTTATTACTGTTCATCCGAGACTGTCCAGAAAATTCATTTTGTTGCTTGATTTTGAACCGCTTATGTCTGGATTTTGGAAATGATTTCTTCTACACAAATATAGCCTTGTAAACCTAGTTTCTAAAGCCACCAGCCATTTTCAATTTCACTGAGAATCGAGTGAGATACGGCCTAATTAGCGAAGTGCTTTAAATCTGGAAAATTTCTGGAAAGGCCAACAGTCCAGGAATTTTAGCAAACTTCAACTTTTTATTTCTTGAGCTAGGAACATCGGAATCGAGTTCCGTTTTTTTTATTTGAAACCTGGATTGGAAATTTACATGCATGTCAAATTTCAAAGGCTGGTTTTGATTCTATGATTTTGGTAAAAATTCCAAAGTTATTGGAAAAACTTGGACTGTTTTGACCTATCTTCAATGCATAGTAAACTTTCTTGGAGAAATTGACTTGTTTCTGAGTTGATTATTGGAAAGTGACCCTCTGTAAAGTTGTTATGCTTCGAATGAAGTTTTTGACGGTGTAAAATTTTCCATTTTTAGACTTTCCGAACTTCCGGACTGATTTTTCTAAGAATGACTCGAAAAGTGAAAATTTCCAATTTGAACCTAAATGTTCTTTTAAGGGCCTAGGTTACATTTTTACAACTCTTAGAGCATTTCAAACCTATTTTCATGGTGAACTTGAGTTCACCTATCACTTGAGACCTCATTTGAAAGTCGGTTCCTTATGAACTGAAATACTTTGGAAACTGGAATATTGGAGTCAAAATTGACTGTTTCTTTTCCTTACACGAATACTGTATGGCCTGGAATTTGATATACAATGCATTATTGCATACCTTCAGGATCTCAAGAGGACTTCGAGGGAACTCCCGGCGAAGCGTCTTAGAGCTAATTTCTCAAACTTTGATTTTTGATACTTGGTGAGTATCAAGTGCATGTGAAGTGTATAAATGAAATGATTCTTGTACTTGCTAGTTAAGGAGGCTAGGGCGTACTTTATCGCCCTTGTCCTCTCTTTCATGAAATTGCTTGCTTGATAAGTGATACGTGTTACATGTGAATGCAAATTAAAGTGTTTTTCGTGAGCATTGAGCGGCAGAATGTATCATGCCCTTTTAGGGTAGGAGGTACCGCTCATCCCGTCTCAATGCTATGACCAAATCTTGTCGATTGGAGCTTCGTCTCATCGACCTAAAAGTGAATGGGGGGGACGCCCCAACCCATTGGCTAGCCTTGTAACTCGAGCCGGCAAGGGCTTGGTCGAGAAACTTGGTGAACCTTGGGAAGTATTATAGCTTGATCCAAATAAGGGATCTTGCTAGGTATACTTGTTAAGTGATACCACCTACATGCTTGTTTGGTTACGGATCCAAGAGGGTGTCATGGTGGCTGGAGGTAGTAAGTGGAGTTCTACATGGATAACTGCGAAAGTTGACGGAGGGTCAACTACCTGAGCTTGGATCGCACGTGGATTAGCTCCTGAGAGCTCCTGTATCCTTTTATTGTGATTAAATTCCCTAATTGCTTAATGTTTCGCAGTTACTTGTTACTCGAGTTATTGCTTTATATTGTGTCTTTGCTAGCATGCTTGCATGTTTTTCCCTTGGCCTCACTGAGCGTTAGCTCACCCCAATTTATTTTCCTTAACAGGTTTGGAAGTGGAAGTTCTGAGGCTTAATTAGTGACCCCCAAAAATAATTTTTCCCCATAGGGCTCGAGGCCAAAGAAAGCGCTTGTATTAAGTTATTAGTGCCTGAAGGGATATCTCATATATAATTTGAATTTGATTCACTTGATAAGTATTTGATGTAATTATTTGAGAACTGAGAACTTTTGTCTTATTCGGGGAATGATACCCTTACTTGAGATTTGTAATGTATCTTATCTCATTCTAAGTTTGAAAAATGTTATTTTGTTTATTCTTGAGGTTGTACCCTATGTTATTAGATGTGAGTGATGTATTTTAATTGAGAACTGTAGTGAGTCCCGGCGAGAGCTGGGCAGGCGGTCCGCCAAACCCTTTGGTTCGCCTTAGGGGGAGGTGGGGCTGTCACATCGCCCATGCCCCTTTTTGTTCTTTTTAGGTTCTCAACATGCTCAGCAATTATTATATCAAAAATTTTATCAATTCTTTGGTGCACCTTCATTAACTTAGGCTTAACTCTACTTAACGGATGAAGTATCTGGTATGAAGGAAACAGATCTGAAATCTCAAAAGCACTTGAAATAGGCAGTGATTTCTTTAGAAGTCGCAAGAAATGTCATTTGGTGAACTTTGCTTACTTTCCCAAATGCTGCTGTCAAAACCATAGAACTTGTGTACGTGGAAAAATGCACATTTTTTCCTTCCCTTCACAAAGATGTTACCTTCTTCCCTTTTTTTGTTTCTTTGCAGACTTCTCTCTCTTCCCTCTGCAATTCGTTTGTTGAATAAGTTAGTGGATGGATTAGGTTAGATGAAGGGAAGAAAGAGGAGTTGTTCTCTTTTTGCTTAGAAAATGCGGACAAAAATTGTGACGACCCCACCTCCCCCTAAGGCGAACCAGAGGGTTCGGCGGGCCGCCTGCCCGACTCTCGCCGGGACTCAGTCGTTCACTAAAGTCCTCAAATGAATTACAAGAATAAACCTCAAATATATATCACATGGTCCACAAATATACATCCAAGTCTCCAATAATTACATGTCACAAATGCAGCGGAAACAATTCTCAACTATACATAAAATGATTTTCAAATCCAAACTGTACAAGATATAGGCCATCCAGACATGTGAATAAGCACAACAAGCCCTCCTTCGCCACGAGCCCTGTGAAGGGGAATAAAATATTTTTGGGGTGAGTTAGAATCTCAGCGAATAACCAGTAAAAGTAGTCATCAAATATATTTCACAGCAATGCATTTCAATGATGTCATGATTCCAAGATCAAATGTACGTTTATTGCTCTCGTGAGCCAGTGAAATCGTTGCACTTGAACACCCAACGCTCAAATAGATCATTTAACATTAACAGAAAGGGAGCCCCTTTTTGAGCTCTAGATACACATGAACATGAACCATAAACAGAGTGGAGACGTTGGTGTCCAGCACAAGACTTTCCCAGAACTCATTGAAGCCAAATCATGTCATGAATTCACATGCAAGCACGCATGATATGCAATCGAATAAATAATGCAAGAAACATTTCACAAGTACTTTGGAAATAGTTTAGGGTCACTCACCTCCATGGCTCAGAAACCATCCATCATATATTATTGCCTTGCTCAAATCCAAGTCTTAGATCACAAACTCAATGCAAACAAGTTCCTTCAAAGTTCGGACAGCACTTCCCCTGAATTTACTAACTTTTCCAACCATCATGGCTTCATTATTTCCTCATTCCAACCCAAAGGTACACACACAATAACAAGTTCATCCGATAGCCATTCAGCAAGCTCCAAGTAGTACTAATACAAGTCAAGCTAGGGAAAAGTTCGGAAATGAAAGTTAAGCTCAAAACCAGAAAAACAGTTTTGACGTCATTTTACGGTAATGGCACCAAAGGCGGTACGATTGTCGGATGAAGGTCCAAGACCCACCGTTTTGAAGCTTAGAGATAGGGGTACAATATTGCAGAAGGTCACTCAACCCAGTTTCGAGTGTAACCAGGTCAAAAATGCAAGAAACTATACCAGAATCACAAAAACAGATTCACAAAACGCATTCTAGCGGAAACATCATAACTCAGGCTCTCCAAGTCAAAATCCATAAATTCCAAAACCATCTGAAAGCTAAGAAACAGGGCTACATTTCATCAGAAGGCCTCAACAACCAATTCGGAAGCAATTCCAGCCAAAACAACCAATTACAGTCGCAAATCCCAATTTCGGGTAAAACCAGAACAGCAATAGTAATTTTGACTTTTCTCACTCTACGCTACTCCGATTGACCTGAAATTTTGTAGGCACATTTAAAATGTCATTTCCTACAACTTTCATGTTTTGAGCTAAGGCCAATTCGGACTCTATCTAGGACCTAAAAATTCGGACAGAATGCTCCTTCACAAAACCTGATTTTCTGAAACTTCTTCCAAAACAGAAATTGATTGCAATTAATCACTTTTTCCACCTCATAGAGTCCTTAAATATCATTTCCAATCATCATACATGACCCCATAATCATATTCATATGAAAACAGAAAAATCCCCAATAATTATAAAACTTCATCAATTCAACCAAAACTCAAGAAATAATCCATAAAACCATCTCTTTAGCCATCACAAGTCTCTAATTTAGCATAATCAAGAACAAAGAAAGGATGGCTAGACATGATACCTTCAAATATCAAGAAAGGTGATGACTTAGGGATTTTTCTTCCAAAACAACTCCACCAAGAGCTTCAATCTTCCTTAGCTAGCAAGTTTTATGGAGTGATTTGCAATTTAATCGGTTGGAACTCAAGATTTGGACAAGAAATTGAAGTGCAAGATGATGGATTTTCTCTCTCTTTTTCTCTCAAAATTTCGTCCAAGACAAGCTAAAATGGAGAGAAATTGGGTCCAAATTGGTTTTAGTAAAGTTAGAAAAGTCTTGGTCAAAAGTCAAGGTCCAATGGTTTTGTGACAAATGGTCCTTTAGGGTTTTAATCTTATCTTTTTGTCTCTCCAATACAAATATCTTAACACATTGTAAAATAATATCACTTAATACAAAATTCCAACAAGTTGTCAAAAATATAATGCATTTATCGCACTTGCGGGTCCCACGTCCAAAATACGCTTTTAATTTCTCAAAAACTAACCGATACTAGAAAAATCATTTTAAAACTATTTTTGCTCATAAACTTTATTTGGGGAATTTTTCTAATCAAGAAAATGTAGAAAAGGCGGGCGTTAAAAAAATAAACCCTAGAAAATTAGAAAATTTCCGGGTTCTCAAACTCATTTTTTTCGGGGCGTCACAAAAATGCCCTTTGAAGAAGCACACTGGCATTTGTGTGAATTGGCCTTCCGGTTAAAAAATCGGAGAAACTGGTTAAAAGGGTCACGGGTACCCAATTTTACAAGTTCGAGAGCTTAAAGTTAGCAAAAAATAGATGAGGGACTTATTTTTACCTAGACAAAGAGTTTAAGGGTCAATTGGATAATTTGCCCTTTTTTCATCTAAATACAGCTGATAGCAATCTCTAAAAATAGTCCATCTCGAAGGAATTCTAAATGATGGACAAGCAGTCCGCATCATATATTGAAAACCTCTTCCCTCTACATGTTTAAATGGCAATTCATCAACAATTACCATATAAGCTATGCTTTTTCTAATGGCTTCCGCATCAAATTCCCAACTTATGAGTGCCCCTTTAACCTCTCCCTCTAAGGTTTCAGTTTCACCCAAACACAAAGTAGCCTGGCCAATGTGCTTATTTTTAGGATTTAGAGGACATTTAGCTACATGAGTATTAAGGGGAGTCATACCATGACTTTTGGGATCCGCAGCTATGTCCTTCTCACAGTACTTGCAAATTGCATGACGAACTCTATTCACATGTTTTACATGAAAGATCCCAAGCTTTGGATCTCTTCTTGTACTCTCCTCTTTTCTTGACAAAACCAGATTCTTCACAACTTTGTGTAGTAGGACTAGGATGAAGAGTTCCAGATGATCCTTCTTGTTCCAACTCATCGCGACTTGGATTACACTCACTATCAGTAGTAGACATAGTTTCAGTTTTTTGAAAATCTGAGCAAGTAAATTATATAATTTAGTGCAATAATCAATTATCAATAAATACGAATTCACTTACAAAGTGAATCCCCTGGCACTTGTTTAGAAGTAAAATCACTTATAAAAACTTGACAGCACAATAATGACAGCAATCATCCCCTGGCACTTGGAAATCATGTTGCTTGTTTATGCAGAAGTAAAAACCACTTCTTTAGTACTAATTTGGCATCTGATTAGAGTCAATTATCATTTTGCCAACAAGACTCGTTTTGCACATCTCATTAGTGTCAACAATGACAGCACTCATTTGATCATCAATACAGAATTGTCATCACTGGATAGTAGAAGTACTAATTACTATGCTGACAGACAACCGACAGTAGAAAAAAAAAACTCTTTTTGTGCTTGTGCGTGAGTCAATGACAACAAAATTTTTTCAGTTTCACACTTTCACCCAAAATTACACATGTTTCAAATCAAATAAATTTTGAAATTAGGGCAACTTATTAATCTACAAAGTAAAGCACTAAACTTACCTTCGGCACTAGTGAATAGGGATGGCAATGGGGGCAGGTGCCCGCGGGCAACCGCCCCGCGGGGGGCTCTCGGGGCGGGGGTTGGGGCGGGGGCGGGGGGGGTATTTTTTCCCCCTGTTTAGAAACGGGGCGGGGGGGCAGGGGAGTATACCCCGCCCCATCCCCCGCCCCGCCACCCGGAAAAAAAATTATATATATATAATTATATATAATATGTAATTTAATTAGTTACAAACTTATGATAATGATATTATTAGTTAGATGTATTATATAATGTATAATAGTGTATGTAATATAATTAATATTATCAATTATATGAATAATTAGACATGTCTACTAATAGAATTTATTAATTAGTTATACTAAATTTACTAATACATTTATACTAAATTTCTATTTACACTTAATAGAATAACACCTTTTTCTAAAAAAAAAAAAACACAAACACAATAATGAATTAGTGATTGTATTTGTACCAAAAGTGAAAACTTAACTATTTTAGTTGTATTTATTTCATCATGTTGGATTGTATTCAAATAATTTTTGTTTGATTGTTTTTATGAGTTTCAATTATAAAATTAAAATGAATAATAACTTCATGATGTGTTGATATTTTAGTACTTGATTATTTATTAAAATTTAACTATAATTAAATTTTATTAACCCAGCGGGAAAAATTTTATTAACCC